CAAGGTTCTGCAAAGGACCGGCTACGGACTGACTGACCTATTTATGCTAATACTCCTATATTTGTATAGCAACATCGGCTCTTGATAGGTGTTGTGATTAATACAGACCTGCTACTTATACTTTCTATAACATTTCTTGTTACTCATTTTTGGCGGCGTTGAATTGCAGTTCAAGTCTCTCTGAAGAATTCTTCATGAGAATACGAATACCTGAATACCGGACTGAGACAGAAACGTGCTTATCACTGCCATCACAGGCTTATGGGAGAATACACGATTCATTCTTTTTTATGAAACTCCACACAGCCCACACTGAATGAAATCAGGCAAGCGAGAATCAGTGGCGCTTGTCCTAAAGTCATAATATCATACCCTTTCTGTTTACAAACGTTAGACGGCCTTTGGTAACGACAGACAAGGCATATACAGAGCTAATGCGAGTAACTGGAGAAGGGGGTCGTAATAAATATTATGTTTCTTGTTGTTCCACGGTATGATGTGTGCGTGCGTGCGTGCGTGTGTGTCTGTGTGTGTATGTGTGTATATATATATATATATATATATATATATATATATATGTGTGTGTGTGTGTGTGTGTGTGTGTGTGTTTCTGGGTGGGTGTGTGGATTTCCGTGGGACTTACGCCCAGGTGATTGTCACCTGGTGTATATCGCTCGTCGTGCTGTCCTGTGGGATTGAACGTCCGCCATTCAGTGAGTCTTCCGATCGGTGTATTTATTCTTCTGCAAAACAGTGAGCAATGAAGAATAAACTTGGCTGTTATCCATTGAATGCTGCATTTGTAGACATTTTTGGCCATTTTTCTGTTAGTGAAAAAAATAATAATAATACGTTTAATCCTATGGATCGTTCGTGTGTTGTCTCTGGTGCATCAAGGGGTGCTAAATGAAACATAATATAAAACACTTTCTTTAAGCATTCATTCTGGTATTCCCATTTACCTGCCGGGTGTAGAAGCCAAGCATTGAATCAACGTACAGAATGCACTTTGATAAATATAATATATTGGCTTCTTGTTCTCCCTAGTTCACACTTAAACGATAGGTCGGCACCTTGTATTGTGGTTTAGAAAGAAAATAAATAAAATGGGGCCCGGAAAGCCACAATGTGAACTTTTACTTGAGAGAATAGGGGTGCTGCGTGGTCTCGAGGTATGGTGTCCGCCTCGAGTGCTAGAGGTTCCGGGTTCAATCCCTGGTAAGGGCTGGATTTTTGGACTTGGACTTCTACTAATTCCCCCTAGTCTCTGGGTAGTGAGATCAGACGCCTGTGTTAACTGCTGCGCACGTAAAATATCCTTTGGCAGTTGAAATCGAAAAGAGTAGCCTTACGTCGCTGCCCGGGCAAAAATTAAATGTAAAAAAATTTACCAAAAGTATTTCAGGATCCTCGCCTGTGCTACAGAGCCTGTGAACTGCGCTGAGCTTTTTCGGACTCCGATTTGATCTTAGCACTAATGAGTTACTACCCGTGTTCTATGATGTTGATCCGTTGTTTAAACCTTAAACTTGACAGAACGTTACGAAAGAGATGAAAAACGGAAAAAAGCAATATATTAAAAATGCGATACAAACATAATCATTTTATTCAGAAAACTTAAATTTATCAGAATCATCTGGGAAAAACATAATTACATAATTATATGTAACTTGTTCCGTATCATGGAATCCTTCTTTTCGACTTCTTCTGACCTATATCGACAATAATGCAAGGGTTCTAAACAATCTCATATTGTCTTAATTTTTATTGTAGTATATTGCTCCCCCTGATTTTCTCCTGTTCTTGTTTACTCTATTCTCCAGCTCACTTGTCCAATCGCGTGTGTGAATGTGTATATGTGAGTGTGTGTGTGTGTGTGTGTGTGTGTGTGTGTGTGTGTGTGTGTGTGTGCTGAAAAAAAAGGGGGGGGGGTGGGTGTATGGGTCTGCCTTCAGTCTTTGTTACAGAGGATTCCATTGCAAGATCATTATAATTTTACTATCGGAGTTTGTTAATGTATATCTTGTTCAACGTCACTGTCGCTTCTTCAAGTCTGTTTCACTAGCATTTATTCAGTTCTCTTTCAGACTCTGCATCAATCATTCGGTACATCATTAAATCCCGTCTTTTCTGCACACGCAACAGTTAATAAATGGTTGTAGTTTATTCACAGCTGTTTTAGTTGCTTCCCACGTTTGGTTTCCTGCCATTTGTACTGATTTGACACTAAAGGTAAATTTATTAAGTTTGGTATTAGTGTTGATTTCCTTTGACTCTTACAGATTATACCGTGCTATGAAAGCCCTTTTTGCATTTTGTATTCGCATTTTCATATTACTTCATGTTCACACATTTTCGAATCACTATATGTTCACACATCGTCATTTCCATGGCCAAAAGAAAAGAAAAATTAAATCAATCAGGAAACCACCAGCCCCAGCACATGACGACTATTTTATTTTGGACAGATCAGAACAAGTCATTATCCTCCGCCTCAGAACAGGGCACATCCGATTACGTAACCACATGTACACAAAATTCAAGATAGGCGTATCAGCCATGTGCACCAGACAGCAGAGCATGTACTCCAGGACTGCGCCGAATTTAACAAATTAAGGCAAACCTTTTGGTCAGAAAGAACAACAGTGGAACGTAAACTCTATGGACCACTGAATGAATTAACAACAACAGTGAAATTTATACAAGAGACAAAATTGCTGATATAGACAACTTATTTCAGGCGAACGAAAGAAGAAGAAGAAGAAGACACATCGTCTGGCTGACTGACACTAATGTAAGGATGGCTAGACCTGGCTGACTGACACTAATGTAAGGATGGCTAGACCTGGCTGTTTGACACTAATGTAAGGAAGGCTAGACCTGGCTGTTTGACACTAATGTAAGGATGGCTAGACCTGGCTGTTTGACACTAATGTAAGGAAGGCTAGACCTGGCTGTCTGACACTAATGTAAGGAAGGCTAGACCTGGCTGTCTGACACTAATGTAAGGAAGGCTAGACCTGGCTGTCTGACACTAATGTAAGGAAGGCTAGACCTGGCTGACTGACACTAATGTAAGGATGGCTAGACCTGGCTGTCTGACACTAATGTAAGGATGGCTAGACCTGGCTGTCTGACACTAATGTAAGGAAGGCTAGACCTGGCTGTCTGACACTAATGTAAGGATGGCTAGACCTGGCTGTTTGACACTAATGTAAGGATGGCTAGACCTGGCTGACTGACACTAATGTAAGGAAGGCTAGACCTGGCTGACTGACACTAATGTAAGGATGGCTAGACCTGGCTGTCTGACACTAATGTAAGGAAGGCTAGACCTGGCTGTCTGACACTAATGTAAGGATGGCTAGACCTGGCTGTTTGACACTAATGTAAGGATGGCTAGACCTGGCTGACTGACACTAATGTAAGGATGGCTAGACCTGGCTGTCTGACACTAATGTAAGGAAGGCTAGACCTGGCTGTTTGACACTAATGTAAGGATGGCTAGACCTGGCTGTCTGACACTAATGTAAGGATGGCTAGACCTGGCTGTCTGACACTAATGTAAGGATGGCTAGACCTGGCTATCTGACACTAATGTAAGGAAGGCTAGACCTAGCTGACTGACACTAATGTAAGGATGGCTAGACCTGGCTGTCTGACACTAATGTAAGGATGGCTAGACCTGGCTGACTGACACTAATGTAAGGATGGCTAGACCTGGCTGTCTGACACTAATGTAAGGATGGCTAGACCTGGCTGTCTGACACTAATGTAAGGATGGCTAGACCTGGCTGTCTGACACTAATGTAAGGATGGCTAGACCTGGCTGACTGACACTAATGTAAGGATGGCTAGACCTGGCTGTCTGACACTAATGTAAGGAAGGCTAGACCTGGCTGTCTGACACTAATGTAAGGATGGCTAGACCTGGCTGTTTGACACTAATGTAAGGATGGCTAGACCTGGCTGACTGACACTAATGTAAGGATGGCTAGACCTGGTTGTCTGACACTAATGTAAGGAAGGCTAGACCTGGCTGTCTGACACTAATGTAAGGATGGCTAGACCTGGCTGTTTGACACTAATGTAAGGATGGCTAGACCTGGCTGTTTGACACTAATGTAAGGAAGGCTAGACCTGGCTGTCTGACACTAATGTAAGGAAGGCTAGACCTGGCTGTCTGACACTAATGTAAGGATGGCTAGACCTGGCTGTCTGACACTAATGTAAGGATGGCTAGACCTGGCTGTCTGACACTAATGTAAGGATGGCTAGACCTGGCTATCTGACACTAATGTAAGGATGGCTAGACCTGGCTATCTGACACTAATGTAAGGATGGCTAGACCTGGCTGACTGACACTAATGTAAGGATGGCTAGACCTGGCTGACTGATACTAATGTAAGGATGGCTAGACCTAGCTGTCTGACACTAATGTAAGGATGGCTAGACCTGGTTGACTGACACTAATGTAAGGATGGCTAGATCTGTCTGTCTGACACTAATGTAAGGATGGCTAGACCTGGCTGACTGACACTAATGTAAGGATGGCTAGACCTGGCTGTCTGACACTAATGTAAGGATGGCTAGACCTGGCTGACTGACACTAATGTAACGATGGCTAGACTTGGCTATCTGACACTAAGGTAAGGATGGCTAGACTTGGCTATCTGACACTAAGGTAAGGATGGCTAGACCTGGCTGACTGACACTAATGTAAGGATGCCTAGACCTGGCTATCCAGGCTTATTAAAAAGAAACCTGAAAGAACTGGAACTTATAACCACTGAACAGAAAGCAAGAGTCTGACCACTTGTCTACAAGGACTGCCCAGTACAGAGCAACAGTGTGAATCAATTTATGATTTTGAGAGTTATTATCTTTATATTTTTTTTTCAGTCACCAATGTCAGGATCCATTATGGGCACCCACTAGATTCAAAACACCAACTGGAGTAAACATTTCCATTGCAGTACTTACACTCTTGACACAGGACTATGGGATGTGGGGCATCGACAGAAGGTGGCCCAAGGAATGATGAACCACCCATTCCTCCCGTAAGATGTTTATCTTCTGTTCCTTCTAGCTGATAAATTAACTCAGTTTATTTTAAAGTCATATGTCTGTTAATTTAGACTAACAGCTATAGTGAATACTAACTTTAGGGAGGGTACTTATATCTGACAGTGTATTTAACAACACGTAACAACGTTACAACTTAGTAACAGTGAGACGACAAAAGAAAAAGAAGAACAACAACAACATTAACAACAACAACAAAGACTGTTGCAAGAACTATTTTAGCGATCCTCATATTTCCATTCTTTAGGCGCTAAAGACTTGAATGGTTTTTTCCCCACCTAATGAGAATAACTCCAAAGATGCCAAAAGCAAGAACATACAAAAATAAACAACAAGACGCAAGAGAAGGCCCTAGGAAAATATGTACTAATGCAATCTCTTACAACATGAGACTTTACAATATCACAGCACTCCTGGCAGTCTATGTGAGCTGCCTCGACTGGCATCATCTGTTAAATTGGCGGTTGCTAGCAGCACAGAGCAGATATTGACAAAAGAACACAGAAGTCTTAACAGTACAATGATTACTTCTCTCAGTGTGTTTATGCTCTGCTGTTACTTGTTAAAACACAAGAAAAAGCACTATTGTGGGGGAAAACAAGAATACACCTACTGCCTGTGCAAAAAGCATTGGGAGCTTCCTTCGAAATCGGAATACATCTGCCCGAGCGGCGAGAAACAACCATCTGCGCTTAAATAAGCTAATAAAATGGATGTACACGTATCAAGCCTTAGTACACAACCAGAGTCCAAATCGACGAACAACTAGGACTTTCCGAAGAAGCATTCAGCAGGTGAACAAAATCAGAAGGAGGAGGAGGAGGAGGAGGAGGGGGAGGAGAAGAAGAAGAAGAAGAAGAAGAAGAAGAAGAAGAAGAAAGGCTTGCCTCCCCCCCCCCTCCCCCCGGGCAAGGCATTTACTAGTATGAATTTTGAGCTATGTCGATCTGGGCAACAAGCTCGAGTATTTAAAAAACCTCCCTGGTATTGGTTCACATTTAAGACTTTCGTGCAAGCCGGCAAGCGTTCTAACACTGTGCTACCTCTGACCCATTGACAATATAATGTACAATCTGTTGCTTCAACTAAGCTAACAATTTGCTTCACCTCAAACAGATCAATGTTCTTGAAAAGGAGCCAAAGTCCCCAGCCCCAGTACCTGCCCCAAACGGCAAAAACGACATCTACACACCACAGGACTATACGGCTCTCGACAACAAAGTCAAACAGGTAAGACCAGTCTGTGTATAAACAGTTCAGCGATTTGGCTGATCATCAAACATTAATGATTCTGTCATTCTAGAGTTGTGTCTCTTGTGCTGCTCTTCTTGCAGACACATTCTTTAAAGACAATAGAACAAAAGAGAGAACATATTGACATTGTAATTGTAATTTTTAATCTAGTTTCTGCGTTCCCATGCTGTAAGCTCCGGAGGAAATTTCTGGTTGTTCACCCACTTCTGGACTTTGATCTTATTCCAGAAGTATTGCGAGCAGATCCATTATACGGATCCGGCTTATTTGTACGCCCACTATTGACTCCTAGCCTCTCAGGCAGCTGTTTTCCGACTTTGTAGGAAATACCCTTAATTAGTCGCCTTCTGCGACATGCTTATTAGGAGACAGTGGGTATATTCTCACCCACACCCGCCCCCCCTCCCAAATGGGCCCGGAACCCACACGGGATCTGACATTCTGTGAGGTATGCAAATCTTCTTCTACGTTCGCCTTGAAAAGGGTAGTTGAGACGTTGTGTTGTGGTTTACAGCTTGACAATATCTGCGACTTCCGGCTCAACACAGTCGGTTTCAGTAGACTCAACCTTAGTAGTATCTTACGACAAGCTTGTTAGAGGACAGGAGTATATTTTGTCACCCTCCCCCTCCCTTTTCCCCGCCCTAAAAAGAATGAGGCCCCGAAATCCACAAGAGGAGTTATGAAAATCAGAGCACAAGTTAATATTTACTAACAACACTGTGAAACTGAAATATTTCGACCATATTAAGTATCAGTTTTGTTTTTGTTTTTTTTGTTTTAAAGATTTAAAAAAAATAAAGGAGTCTAGAAGAAACAACTATGTCTACAGTCTAAAAACACAATTCAGCGCGAGTGTCAGAGTTACTAACAGAATACGAAGCAGTTCGGATATCTAGTGAAAATACAGCTAGACAAAACTGCATATAAGATTTTCTGTTCACAAGGCATCTGAGAGGAAGGCGATGGGAAGACCAGAAAAGATAGGTATGTGCTTCAGTGGAAAAAAATAAACAAATAAATAATCTTCACGTTCAACCTGCATCCCCAAAGAGGGCGATTTACGTTATAATTGTGACTAGGTTATTTTTGTGCGTCATATAAAAATTGCTTTGCATTTTTCGCAGCCGAGAGACCTGAAAAGGACTCCTGCAGTTTTGAATGGATTAAAAAGAGACAGATCCAAATACTGTCCTGTTAAGCGACGAAGTCGTCTACCGGCGAAATAGTGGGCGGCCCGGTCCCTGATGCATGAATGAGATGGATAAATCATGTAGCTGAAACCTGTAAAAAATATGACCAAATCCACCACCCCAGTCCTCAGAGAAGCACAAGACAAATGCAGAAAACAATGACACTTGGCTTCAACCTGGTATCATTGAGACGACAAGGGAATAGTAACAATTTGGAGTTACTTTACACTCATCAAAACTCTCGTCAGATGATAAAGAGCACATCTCTATTCTATATAACATTTAAAGATACTTATAGAAAAGTTTTTAGCCATAAGAAACGATGAATGTTGCTGACGCTTAGTTACCATCTTTAGCAGTGGTTCATAGTTAGCTAACACCCGATGCCTCTCTTATTTGTTATTTTTCTAAAGTCTGCTACAGACCCCATATTTCCTAACAGTCAAACCGAAAAACTTATTGCAAACCGGATTGCATTCTAAAGTTGGGTCTCTCTCTCTCTGTGTGTGTGTGTGTGTGTGTGTGTGTGTGTGTTTCAGTGGCCAGTCATATGTAAACGTTAGCAGGTAACGATAACAGTGGAGAGGGTATCTGGTGATATCCTCCTCCTCGTAGCTTCGCTGTTGAAAGCATGCGTGCGCCGCTAGCATCGCAGTAGTGACAACTTTCATATGTTACAGTTTCTGAATTAGTGACGTAAGCATTCAGCGATATTTATTTCGCTGGTAGCTATGTTCGATAAGTAAACCGAGTGTCGTATTAAAAAAAAAAAAAGTAAACATTATTAATGAATTGTGAAATAATGCATTTTACTTTTTCAATGAAAAGTGCAAGCAGTGTTTATAATACAGGCCTTGCCAGTGGTGTGTGTATGTGTAAGTGTATGTGTGTGTATGTATGTGTGTGTGTATGTATGTGTATGTGTGTGTGTGAGCAATGTCACAGACCCATAAAACGTGACCCGCTGACCCTGGAGTTCCGCGAACCACCAAATGCGAAATATTACCATTGCACTTTCCATGGCAAAAGTAAAATGCATTGTTTGACTGTTTATCTATTATAATTTCTTCATGTCAGTGATTGATGATTCAACATTTTCTGGTTTTTATGTCCATATCAGCTGTCTCCGAGACTGAATATATCAACGTACGAAAACCTGATCAAAACACTGACATCTGGATGCACCACAGACCTACAGAAGCTTCGATCAATTTTTGTCTGGTTGTTTCTGCAAGATATTCACGGCTCATTTTATAGCGGAGTAACGGACCCAAACACTCCAAGGGGCTACATGAAACTTATAAAGACTCAGAATGGATCATACGAGCTATTCTTTGCCCAGTTGTGCAGGTCAGTAAACAGATTTATTTTTGCAGCTGTCACATCGATTATAATTTTCAGTTTTGTTTCTGGCCGTAAATATTTAATAGCTGTGGCCAGTACCACAAGTTGACCGCCAGGTGTCACAGGTTCGAATCCTCACTGACATTTGAAAAAATCAGCAAGGGTGTTCGTGCATTTTTGCGAAGCTCCTGGCAGATGGCTAGCCGTTCTAAGGAGAGAGATCTAGCCATATTGGCTAACCCAGGGTAATGCAGTCGATCCTTTCCACTTTTAATGTAATTTAGTTATTATTTAAAATAATGATTAATTCCGCACGTGTGCTGACAGCCTCCTATACCATGCCTAAACACTACGTCTGTCCCTCTTTCCACAACGTGTTCCTGTTGTCGAGGAGAGGCTGACCGAACGGTTAAAAACCATGGACTGTCAAGCGGGAGACCCAGATTCAAATCCTTGGTAAGGATGTGGAATTTTTTTTTGGCCGGGTGCAAAGATAAAATCCTAACCTGTACAGTCCGTCACGTGACAGCACTAGGCACGAAGCTTTAAAATCTCAGGCTCAAACCCCCCCCCCCCCACCCACTTCTCAGCCCCGCCTACCCAGCAAAAGTGGCAATTACAGGCAGTAATGGCAGTTGGCAGGTCCCAGTTGTCATAAAAAGTTCCAGTCGTCATAAAATGTCCCAGATGTCATAAAATGTTCCAGTTTTCACAAAATGTTCCAGTTGTCATAAAATCTTCGAGTTGTCATAAAATGTTTAATTTTTCATAAAATGTTCTATTTGTCATATAATGTTATAATTCTTATAAAATGATCAGTTTGTCATTAATGTTCCAGTTGTCATAAAATGTTACAGTTGTGATAAAATATTCCAGTTGTCATAAAATGTTCAAGGTGTCACAAAATGTTCCATTTGTACTCTTCTGTGGTTAAAACGTGGTGGCTGCCCCATGATTGATCGTTTATTATTGATTATTATTCAGGGCTGCTGACATTCCCTGCAATGTCATTAAAGGGATAGCAAAGGGGGACAAATATGAAGTTGGACAGCAGGCAGTGTCAGAGCTAGAAAGTGCCTGGTGTGCAGTGTACGTGGCAGGAGGCTGGCGGTTCGTACACTTACTATGGGCCTACTTTCAGGAAAAGCAGACATATGAAAACGGGTAAGAGGTTGTGAGTGAGTATATATTCAGTTCAAGCATTGTCTATGGCAGGTGGAGATAACTGCAAATAACTTGAACTTATATGTTTGCTAAGTGTTCTTGTTTTTGGCTGTAGTTGTTGTTCTTACAATAAAGTTGCTTATGTGCTGCACTTAACATTTTCACCACATTTTTGTTTTATTAGTGTACAAGGGATTAAAGGGATTATGGTACAAAGGGATTAAAGGGATTAGAGTACAAGGGGTTAATATCCCCAGTTGGCAATGCTGGACAAGACTGTAGAAGATTTAAAGTTTGAAAACAAGTGCCGGATGTTACATGGCGCTACAGAAGAAATTTAAAACATTTAATTTGATTGTTTAAAAAAAAAAAAAAAAAATAAAATAAAAAAAAAAAAAACAATTGAACTTAAAATAGAAATTGTCAGTCTCTGTAATCACCAAACAGCGATCGCGAGATAAAGAAGGTAATAAGGAGGTAGAAGAAGAAGGAGGAGGAATAGAACGAGGAAGAGGATGAGATAAAGAGGAAGAAGAAGAAGAAAAGGAGAAGAAGAAGAAGAAAGAAGAAGAAGAAGAAGAAGCAGAAGAAGAAAAAGAAGAAGAAGAAGAAGAAAAAGAAAAAGAAAGAGGAGGAGAATAGAGAGAAAATTAGAAAACGAGAAGAAAACAGACCAGCGAGTTAACGTCTGATCCTAGGGTAGGCAACAAAATGTCCTCTTAGCCACTTTCTCCTTCTTTTTGTAACACGAAAACAACGTACAAATTACACAACTGTATTGCCTTTTAATTTTTGTTTCATCTCAGAGTTCCCCCCTCGCCTGGAACAAAACGAGCAAACATAAACGAATTCTTCTGGCTTGTGGATGCCAATAAACTCATCTGCTTCTGCAAACCCCATGTTGAACAATGGCAGCTTCTTAAGGTCAAGTGGGAACACACGAAATTCCTGAAGAGTCCTCTGTTTACAGAAGAGTATTTTGGGTGCGGTCTTCTGCTACCCAAAAAGTACAATGCAGTTATCACTAGTGACAATGGTATATCTACAATTGAATTTGACCACCATAATTATGAAGAACCAGCTTTAGATACAGTGGTTGACTTTGATGACGACGTGTCAAGTAACGACATCCCACCAGATCTCGACCTAAATGATTACGTAACAAAAGCAAGTTCCTCATCAAGAAAGACCTTGATTGTCAGGTACCCGATCCGTGGTAGATACAAGGCAGTTATTTTTGGTGGACTCGATCCGAGTCTACCAAGAATAGTTGAGTTTAGACTAGATTGTAGAGACATAGGACGAGATCCCCAGCCTTTTCCTCTGAATCCACCCGAGGGTTTCGGTATTCTTCCAATAGCCAGCCAGTTCGGGATTTCTGACCCTGTTCCTGATTCGGGGATTATACTGGTACGACCAACACAACAAAGACACTTCTCGTTTACAACTACACAGAGGTTGGAGGTGCAAGCAAGTCTGACGCACAGAAAGCATGGCTCTGATATGTTCTCAGACTTTGTATCAACGAGGTGCGCTGACGAAGAGGTTCATGTTGCAGTATCTGTACCAGATGAGACAATTTTGGAGTTCGGTTTACAGGTACGTCGTGTCTGAATGTGTCAACAAAGATCTCTTTAACAGTAATATTTTCAGTTATGATTTGGTTACGACTTCTTTGTGACCATTCTGTAAATTTACGTTTCATGTGTATTATGATGTTATCTTCTCATTGTGTACTAGAATCTAAAAGTATGTAATTCATACCGTATAAGCGATAAAATACGAAGAAGCATCTAGATAGCATCTTTCTACTCAATGTAACTGAAAATAGTGGTTCGCTAGGATAGTTTGCAATTTGTTTAACACAATTTTAGCAGGTTTTTTAAATTTTGTTATAAGTTTAATACAACTTTAGCAGGTTTCCTAAACTTCCACTTTGCTTGTCTCATCGCCTGTTATTATGCAGTATCCAAAAAAAAAAAAAAACTTCTGAATTTTATGGATGAATTTCTTAGTTACTTTTATCTTTAAATAAAACACAATTTTAACACAATTTAAAACTGTTTTCGTAAGTATCAGTTTTAAGTGTCGCTATGGAAATATTGTGTTAAAACTCATAACGTATATTGGTGATTCAACGCAGATCGACTACTGCTATGAGGATGGCAAAGGTTCCAATAGAAGTGCGCGAATGGAATTATGAAAACTCTCATAAGTATCCCTCTATGAGCACATTTTGACAGTAGGGTCTCACTGGTGAGTGTTTCAAAGACAGGTCTGATGGGCTCACACATATAGGGAGGGAAAGTCTTTCTGTCAGGATCTGCTGCAGGCTGATTATTGGAAGGGCGCCAATCTCCACAGTTGATGTGGTCACGGTTTCTGTGCTCCCATATGGCCCAGATTTCTCGTCGCACCTGAGGCACATTATTGGTGTTTCTTAATATTGCAGTACCGTAGTGTCCTTGAATCTTTAGAATTGCCTTTTTCGTCAGACAACCCCTCCCACCAATTTCCCTAACACTCTTGTGCATAAAGGTCTCCTTCTTCAGCTCATTTACCTTATTAGTAAGGCTTCGCCCCATTCTTTTCTGCACATGCCCACAACATTCTAGTTTTGCAGTACTGATATCGGTAAACACAGGTAGTTATGCATTTGTACCTGAAGTGTATGATTTACTGTCTTAATCTCCAAGTAAGGAAACACCATACAAATGCTTACTTCGCTTGAACATTTCCATTGCTTCAGTTGGCTCCACGCTACTTGCTGACCACTGTGATTCTTATCACAGGTCTGAACCTGTGAAAGCTTCCATGCCTGGAAATCGCCCTCAGTTTTAATCAAATTATGTTTTGCACAAGTAAAGTAAGTAGAGGACCCTTTTCCACGCCTTTAAACGTATAGGGCATATAGGGCTAGACCCATATTTTTATAGACAGATCGGCACAAGAGGGGTGATGTGGTCAGGATCACGCCTGCATGTTTTGCACAAGAGCTGCAATAATGACTGACAACTACAGTGTCAAGAACTTTTGAGTAAGGCCAATTTACAGTGAAACAAGTGACCACACTATTGGTATTTCTTGTGACATTAATATTTTAGATTGTAAAATGTTTCTTGTCACTTAAACACATGACAGTCGGAGATTTTTCATGTGACAGCAGCAAATTATATATCAGAAGTTTCTTGTCATTTTGGCACATTACATTGTAAGGTTACATAAATATATTACATCCTCAATTATAAGGTTTTTTCCTTCTTCTGACTTGAACATTTATTTATATTTAAGCATACGCTTCCAAATGCACCATGGTATTCCATATGACATCTTTGGCGTAATTAATATAATTTATTATAAGGATTGTCTTCTGATAAATTTATTATATAATTTGGTTGCCATGTCGTAAATGCTTCTTTATTTTACTTATAATTTATAAAATGTCCGCTTCAGATCGCTGTTAGGCCAGAGTTTGCCTCTAGAAACTTCACTGTTATTGCAAGTTACTTGCTTGTAGACGAGAACTGGCAGAAGAAAACAGCTGTTGTTGTACCTTCCCGAGTGTCCAAGGTAAATCTGTTCCCTTCTCGTGCAAGTTAAACGTTACTTGTCTTTCAATGGATGATTATTTGCACAGTAATTTGTTATGCTCTGGATATGGTTCAATTCGTATGAATACAATATGTATCTTTTGCACTTTCTCTGATTACACAAATTGTTTTAACATTAATGATGAATTTTAAAATCAAACAGCCATACCAGACAGTTCTTCTAATAGGTTCAGTGGCTGAATTTTTTGTGTGGCTTTGGAGGGAGAGGGGGAAATTGATCCATGACTCTGGAAAATTAAGCCTTGAAGGGTGAACTAATTAGAGACCTGCTGTATTCGGAAGTGTTGGACCGAAAGGTTTACTGCAGCCTAGCTGTAAATCACAGTACTGCGTGCCAACCTCCATTTTAAGGGCGATCGAAGAAGAAGAAGAAGAAGACAATATTAGAAAACGTCTATAGATGAAACTCACGAGAACATCGTAATTAAATAAACGCCTAAACACACGTATTCCTTTTGGATTAAAAAAAATGTATGATGGCTTCAGTTTTATTAAGCCATAATCCGTACATAACATATAATAGTTTATAATAGTGGATATATTCCAAATGACCTTTTAAAATCCATATTTATAGCTCTGCCAAAGAAACCAGGCACTTTAAAATGTGAAGACCATCGCACAATAAGTCTTATGAGTCACATGACTAAGATTTTACTGAGAATAATTATGAGAAGAATAAGAAACAAAATTAAACCAGAAATCAGCGATGAACAATGTGGATTTGTAGAAGGAAAAGGTACAAACAATGCCATTTACATCCTAAGGACATTGTTAGAAAGAGCTATAGAAGTGAAGACTGATTTGTACTTATGCTTCATAGACTATACAAAAGCATTTGACTGTGTGAAGCATGAAGAAGTAATCAAACTGTTAGAAAAATTAAACATTGATGGGAAAGATCTACGAATAATAAAGAATATGTATTGGCAGTAAACAGCAGCTATAAGATTAAACAAGTGTTTAGGTACATTTCAAAGCATAAAGAGGGGCGTACGACAAGGATGTGTACTGTCACCTGATTTGTTTTCAATATACAGTGAATATATAATGAGATCTTTAATTGATATGCCCGGAATTGTGGTTGGTGGGCACAATATAAACAATTTACGTTATGCTGATGACACAGTCTTGATAGCAACGAGTCAGAAAGAATTACAGGAAATGATAGACATTGTGGTGTTAGAAAGTGGAAGAATGGGCCTCAGTTTGAATAATGGGAAAACAGAAGTAATGGTGGTATCAAAGAAACAAATTATTCCTAAATGTGTAATAAAAGTCAATGGTGTTATTTTAGGACAAGTACAGAAATTTAAGTATCTGGGCACTTGGATAACATCAGATAGAAGATGCATAACTGAAATAAGGAACAGAATTGGATAGGCAAAAACTGCATTTTATAAAATGAAAAACATCTTGTGCAATATATCCTTGTCATTGAGAGTTAGAAAAAGAATTCTTGCTTGCTATATGCATCCAGTTTTAACATATCGATGTGAATCCTGGACAATTGGTAGGCAGGCCAAACAATTTTTAGAGGCCTCAGAGATGTGGTTTTACAGAAGAATGCTTAGAATACCTTGGACAGCCAAAAAGAGCAACCAAAAGATTTTGAAAGAGGCGGGGGCCCGAAATAACATATCACAGACATCAGAAGGAGACAGTCATCATTTTTCGGCCATGTTATGAGAAGAGGGAAAATAGAACATGTTGTGACCACTGGAAAGATCTGTGGAAAAAGGGATAGAAGAAGACAACGAGAGAATATGCTTGACAGTCTTGTTGCATGGCATGGGAGTGTGTCGGCACCCGAACTGATACATGCTGCAGGAGATCGCAGATTATGGAGAGGCATGATATCCCACGCCTGTCGCAAGGCAACTGATGATGATGATGATGAATCCGTACATACATTCATATATGTGTGTATGTGTGCTTACGTCTATCTCTCTCTCTCTCTCTCTCTCTCTCTCTCTCTCGCTCTATGTGTGTGTGTGTGTGTGTGTGTGTGTGTGTGTGTCTGTCTGTCTGTCTGTCTGTCTGTCTGTCTGTCTGTCTGTCTGTCTGTCTGTCTGTCTGTCTGTCTGTCTCTCTTTCTCTCTCTCTCTGTGTGTGTGTGTGTGTGTGTGTGTGTTTGTACGTGGATGCGAATATACGTATTTGTAGATATGTGTGCATACATTTACATGTAAAAGACTAATTTTTGCACAATACTCTCACTAGAATGAGGAAGATCGAGTGCGGAAAGCTCTGATAGCTGCCTCACACAAGAACAGTATACCCCCGTTGGAAAAAGCCATTGGAGAATTTGAACATCACAGCCTCTATGATAACGGCGACCTGACCAGAGCAAGGCACAAACTTGAGCAGCTACACTTACAGAGTAAATGGTTTACTAGTGCATTCGGATCTCGATGTACAACTCCCTTTTGTTGAATAGGCTACTCTCTTGGTCGCTTGTAGAATAAAACAGAGGCACAAACACAAAGAATACATGTATGCGGGGTAAAGGGAAGGGGAGTGGCTAAAGATTTTCTCATTAGCTGTCTTCCCCCTCCTGCTCCAGAATTGTTGGTATGCATGTAGGGAGAAGGGAAACGGTGGGGGGGGGGGGTGTAGCTCAGTGTGACAGCCTCCAGATTCAGACCCCCCTGGCACATATTTTAAGTTACCTATATCTTTTTCTTTTTCTTCACGTTCACCGGCTGCATGCTTTAGTGGATAGTTCTGACTATAAGCCCTTTTCTAAACTTTCGTCTTGTTCCTGAACTTGAGTTTTGCATGTGCATTCCTTTAACAGGTCTAGCTGGTTCCTCGCCTTTGAGGCAAATGCACTCCGATTTCGAAAAGAACATCCCTAATTAGTCGACTTTTAGAACATGCTTGCCTGGGGACAGTAGATTTATCTCCCTTGCCTCACAATGGCGCCCGGAACTCACAAGTGGATTTCACTTACAATTTTCGAAAGCCGTTGTCAACATTGTTCATTGTTCACCTGGTGGGTTCCGGGGAGCCCCATTATGGGGAAAACAAGAATAAACCCACTGCTTTTCCAACAAGCATGTCGTAGGAGTCGACTAACAAGGGACTCCTTTCGAAGTCGGAGTGCATCTACCCTAGCGGCAAAGAACAACCAGCTGCACACAAATAAGCCAGTTAAACGGATGTACACCTAAAACTCAAGTTTTGGCCCAAAGTCATACTCCCAATGAACGAACAATTAGGAATTTCCCCTGGAACTAACAGCCGTTGAACAAAGAAGAAGAGAGAAGAAACTGACTGAATTTGTGAGAAAAACTTGAACCAAACTGCTTGACTCAGTTGTTTACCTACAAGAGCTCGTATGTGCGACTCATAACACAACACTCTCAACCTGTATCGTTTTTCGGAAACGGAAATAACCTCTGTCATATTCAGCACCGTAAAATTTTTGAAACAATAGTAATGGAGGGTATTGTTCCTGGAAGAAGAGGCAGGGATCGACAAGCACGACAGTGGATTTCAAAAACATATTAGGCGTGAGATTTCATGAAGCAAAAATGTTTGCAAGAGACCGAGGGACTTTCTGGCATTCATGTGGTTTTAGCAACGGACCTGCTACATCATGAACATGATAATTATCATGTTGATGAATGTCGGTGTGCTGCAATAATTCAGTTAAATTATATTAAATCTATATTTTTATAATGTTGTTTCGTTACGTACTGACTCTAAGACCATTACCACTGATTCTGTATTCTAGAAAAGCAGACATATCCTTTCATTTTCAGCTATTGTGATGTCTATGCAGAACATATTTTCATCTCTTGTTAACGCAGTGTGTCTATAGATAAAACAGTTTATATTCTAGTTATATGTTTTTTTCCCTCTAATTTATCTCTGACTAATCTCATATAATTTTGACTTTACACAAAGAAGCTTTTTGATGAAAGAATGCTTCATTGTATGCATTTCAGTTGTAAATTATATGCGTGCAACTATTTGACCGTCGTTACTGCCATTTTCAGTGTTATTGTTGCCGACTGACATGGGCTATCATGCCCGTCTACAATCTGTGTTCCAGTGGTCACATGTTTCAGTTTTCCTCCTCTCATCACAAAAATGATGACTGTCTCTTTCTGATGTTTATGATATGTAGTCGTTGATCGTGATGGGGGGGGGGGGGGGGGCGCTAAGTGGTCTCGAAGCATAGCATCTGCGTCGAGTGCTGGAGATCCCAGGCTCAAGCCCCCGTGATGGCTCGGATTTTTTTTCATGTGGACTTCTAGTAGTTTCCTCTGGTCTCTGTGTAGTAAGATCAGACGCCCGTGTGTAGTGTTGTGCACTTATGGGTTACTATCCTTGTGTCCTGATGTTGATCCGTTGAATAAACCAAACCAGTCTTTAGTTCTTTGCTTCTTTAAAAATATCCGGGCTGCTCTTTTTTACTGGGCTAAACGAAGAATTCTAAGTATTCTGTGAAACCACATCTTTGAGGCGTCAAGATATTGTTTGGTTTGTTTATTAATTGTCCAGGATTCACAACCACCGTATTTTTACACCAACTCTATATAGCACACAAGAATACTTTTCCCATCTTCCAGTGACATGGATTTATTGCACACGATGTTCTTTATTTTATAAAATGCAGTTTAGGCCTCTCCTATTCTGTTCTTTATCTGTATTTTACATCTTCTATCGGATGTTATCCGTGTGCCTGCATACTAAAATTTATGTACGTGTCATAAAATAACGACTTTCCCTTAAACAAAAGAGGACAATTTGGCCATATATTTGATATCAAGTATTATAGAGCACATTAAAAACACATTATCCACCTTGCTAGATCTTATTATTATTTTAATCATTATTGTTATCATTTAATAATAATAATTATTATTATCATTATTATTGTTATTACTACTACCATTACAGATTTAAGAAAAGCAACACTGGACAGAAAAATAGAAGAATTAGAAGTAGCCATAAACTCAGCAAAGAAATCTCATGTAGCTCCAGAGCTGGCCGATAGTAAGGAGCTGAAGGTATCCAAAACACTGTCGAAATGACACCCACACTCATTACACATACTCTTTCACACACACACACCCACACACATACATACACATATTAACATTGTTTTGTCTGTCTGTCTTTCTGACTGCCTCTCTCTCCCTCTCTGTCTCTCTGTGTCTCTCTCTCTTTCCCCCTCAGTATATATATATATATATATATATATATATATATATATATATATATATATATATATATATATATATATATATATATATATATATACACACACACATATATATATTGGTGCGTGCATTATGTGTGTGTGCCGAGTATATGTTTTCAGTATGTGTATGTCAACTTTCTAAGTTTGCAACTGACTGTGATGTTTTGCAAGACTTACTTTAACTGTAAAATTACTCAACAGGTTTGCATTCTTCAGACAAGATATCTTATATTTTGAGTCGTGTATAGCAAAGTTTACATTTAAAGTAATTTAATTCTGACTTGTTATTTTAAATATCACTTGAATCTTTCATTTTCACCCCTGAGTTGTTGATCCTACTAACTGCAATCATATAGAGAGGGAAAGGGGGGGGGGGGGGGGGGGGCTGCCCATCCTACAGGGTCGAATGTAAGATAGGCCTGCATGTCCAATCTGCAACTATTTGAAAATAAACTTCGTTCTTTCGTTCGTTGCACGATTAGGCAGACATTGTTTGCGGCCCACCTGGACTTTTTCCATGGTCCACCAGTGGGAGGCGGCCCATGTGCTAAAGAATACTGGTGTTTAGCAAGGCTTTATTGTAGTCTAATCTAAACTGATTGTAGTCCCACGTGTGACTACGATAAGTAGAACGTGTAGAAGCTACTAAAATCTGCCCCCAAAAATACCAGTTACTGCCTTTATGTATCACTTTTGCTGTGTAGCCAGGGGGTGGAACGGATGGGGAGTTGACTCTTGAGTCTAAAGATTTAGGGCCGTAAGGTAACTGCTGTTACCATGGACCGTGCAGGTCGGGATGTTTTTAGGGACCGCGACATAATTAAATCCACGACCTTGCTGAGGATTCGAACTAGGTCTCCCCGTACGAGAGCCCGGCATTCTTAACCCCTCGACAAGCCGCTTCAAAGCTACACTTTACCAATGCTTAATTTTGTTTGTTAAAAAAGGTGACGTTGTATTGTTGCACATTTGACCATAGGAGGCGGAGATGACGAAACTGCAGCTGCGTCGGTTGAAGTTGTACATGCACAAAGTTCTGGCCTTGAATAAGGCAACCATTTCTGAGATGCACAGTTACCAGAGACCGCGCCCACTTGTGCATCAAGTTATGAAGGCAACGTTTAGAATTCTTGGAGAACCAAACAGTAAAATACAAGTAGGTATTTTTTTCCCCATAACTTGCTCTCCGTCAAATTGGCATGTTATTTTTAAAAAATCAAAAATAAGATTGTTAAGACGGAAAAACTTTGGGGCCACGGAGATCAGAAATAATGTTTTGCTAAATTAGAAACAGTAGTCTCGACAGTTTTAAAACTTGATGATACAGCAAAAGTATACTGCAGTCAATGAGGTGCCATCTCCACAGTAAAGATTGGCTGCAATGGATCTCTGGCAAGCTCTGTCTTTTGCTTAGATTGCTGACTGCCCATCTCTTGATGTTGTCCTCCCACTTGTATCATTGCCAATTTTTTGCTTTCTGGCCTTTGACCTTTCCTTCCAGTATGGTTTTTAAAAGCAGATTATGTCTTTTAATGTACGGAGAGTATAAAATTATATGTATAGATATTTTTTCGGGGTTACCATAATTGCTTTTCTGTCGATATATATTACTAATATATTATTTCTAAAGTTCGACTCAAGACATTCATCTAGTGAGTGCCTTACAGACTGATGTCGGCGATCATGTTCAGGTGTTGACAACCCTCTATGCCATAACACAAGGCCATAACAAATCTTCTTGCATTGTCTTATGCTCTATCTTTTCCACGGATTTTTCAAGCTGTCAGCGAGTTTTAGGGACTCTTCTTCAAAATCTTCGAAACCCGAAGAAATGGTTTGATGTTTTTGGTCAGTAGTTCAGAATTCACAGACATATGTGAAAGCGGGCCTCTATATAGCATGCGAGAATTCTGTTTCAAGGCTCTAGTGGCATGGATTTATTGTATACATTGTTTTTAATTTTATAAAATGCAGTTCTAGACTGTTCTATTCTGTTATTTATCTCAGTGATGCATCTTCCGTCAGTTGTTATCCGTGTGCCTAGATACTTACATTTCTGTACGTGTCCCAAAATAACGCCCTCGACTTTCATTACACATTTAGGCACTATTGTTTACTTTAATATCACATTTACTTCTGGCTTCCAGTTATTCAGGCTGACCTATTCTATACATATTTTTATCAATATAATACTTGTTTCTTTTCTTTATTGTTAGTGGTGCAAGTCATTTTACCGTTGGAAATATTGGCTTGGCTTCATAAAGTGAATTAAGACAAAAAGTCTAACAAATATATGGATTAATGTTGTGACAATTATCAGTTTTACCCAACCACCCTGCGAAAAGCCCCAGTACTCTCAGTATGATAAATAAACATGTATTGATTTGCATTTAGAGAAAGAAATATAGATAAAATGGCACTATATAATGCATACTCAACTATTTGTACATGAGAATATTGGTGAATTGATGCATGACAAGCTAATTGATCTAAGGATCATCCGCAAAGGCACAGTAAGATCATCATGGTATAAAAAGTTCGGTGCTTCGCGAAGTGGCCAGGAGAGCAGGCCGACGCTCAACGCTCATGGGGAAAGGCGACACGAAATGCAATCTGTTACTGATATTGTCTAAACTGGAACTTGTGCGCTTGATGTTGAAAATGGAGACGGAGCACCTATGGGAATCTTCCGACTGCTATGATAACCATTCTTACTTCAACATTTAACAACGATCAACGTGCGATATTACATTTGACCGATAATACTGAAATGACACTACCATAGCTGAATTATCATAGTCAATGTTTTATGATCTAGTTAGGTTAGTTGCGTATCCTTTACAGGACGTCGCAGAACCAACCCCAACAGCCCCTGGCTGTTGTGTTATTTTTATAGGCAAATTTACGTCGAGTAGTTTGCCATTGCTTCCTGGACGGTCGGCTTTCTTGATACCACTGTCGAAACCAAAGCAAGTCGCAAGGCCCGCAGCTGGGATCGAACTCCAACCCAGCATTCCGGCATTTCGAAGCGTTCGCATCGACTTATTAGATCTAGTACAGACACGGAATGCGCCTTGCGTTGGTTTCGACAGTGCTATCAAGAAAGCCGACCGCCCAGAAGCAATGGCAAACGACTGGACATAAATTTGCCTAGAAAAACCACACAACAGCCCCTGGCTGTTGGAGTTGGTTCTGCAACGTCCTGTAAAGGATAAGCAACTTAACCTTACAGACACGGAAATTAACTTTTTTTTGGTTTGTTTGTTTAGTATGTGATTCATGCTATAAAGGCATTTGAAGTTTAAATCTCAGTTATAATCAAACCAAATCTCATCCTAATGAATTTACCAGTAAAATGCTTTTGCCACTCGAGTCTCTTGTCATAGATGTATTCAAGTTGTATTTAGTGTAAATGTGTTTAAATAGAATTCTATACGTAACCTTAGCAAAACAGCCATATGAACACTGTTGCCAAAGTAATATTGTCATATGGAACGCTTTGTTGAACCAATTACTGTGGGTGCAAAGGAACGTGTTCATGTTCTATTCTGTGGGTTTCTTTAGAGATGCATATGGATTCTGCCAACGGAGTCATTGTTGATAACGAAGTTTGTGCAGGGTCATACCGCAGCAACGGTTCCCCAGGGTTTGTCTGGTGTTGATGTAGTTTGTGCAAGGACATGCCGCAGCAACGGTTCCTCAGGGTTTGTCAGTTGTGAGCCTTGATTGTAGTCTTGTTATCTGAACTGTACAAGTTGAATTTACATGTTTTCTTCCTCATTGTAAAGAATATCTTTCATTATTGTAATGACAATTTCTAATAAAGTAAGGATAATTTTCCACGCATTCAGGCAAATTGCGATTATAAGACTAAACGTATATTTTATATACCAAACGGCACGCGGTTGCCAATGTGGTCAACATGACACCGATCGCCTTTACTTCCCAGGACTCTACCTGACACATATTTACTTCTACCACTATGATAATTTTTAATTAGATTCAGTTAAAGCAGGCAATTGTGTAAACATTTAGAAGTGTTATTAGTCAACGATGTCTTTAATTACTGCTAGGAATGGCCCTACGTACAAACATCCATGAGACAGCTGGGTCGCAACAGCATGCTTAACCGTATGAAGAGATGTGATGTGGTCCACATGAAACAAAGGCAAGTAGAGGATGCCGAGGGATATCTGAAAGACACCAATAAAAATCTGGTTCGTATGTGCAGTGCTGGAGCTGGGACATTCTATGTTTGGGTAAGAAAACCCCACGACATTTTCCTCGTGTGTTACTGCTCTGTATCACTTCTTTTCTTCTTCTTCTCTTCCACCTTGTGCCTCAGCGAAGTATCGGGTGGAGATATAACATTCGTTGATGAGGTCTGCCTAGAGCACTATTAGGACTGATGTTCATTTCTGTAAAGCTGTTCCTGATGCTATCACTCCATATTTTTCTGAGTTCTTCCACAGAATTTTACGCTTAAAGGAAAGACAAGATGGACAACGATCAGACTGCTATTGGTAAAATCTCCTAACTGGAACACTGGGCTTTCCAAAGGTGGAGATGGGGCGTTTATGGCAATATCCAGAGTACCTTGATGTCTGTTCTTCGGTCAATCCTCATCGCGCCCAGATACATATCAAGGACAGAGACTAACTGTCGCCATCCAATTCGATCCTGAGCCATCCTCTCTATCTCCGGTTTTGTCCTTCGCATAGCCTTAAGTTGAGCCTCAAAGGTTCACCTCCAACTGCCTCTAGGCCTGCCTCTTCCCTGATGTCCTTGTTGTGTCCATTGCATTGCCTGTCTCGGTCGTCTCTCTTTCTCAATTCTGAGGACATGTCCAATCCATCTCCAATTTTTTTTTTTTTTAAATTTTAAAAAATTACATCTTCTAAGACTGTCATTTGTTGTAAAATTGCTGGTTTTATCTTCACAAGTAAACCCTAACAATCTGCTGAGAAGTCATCCCTCAAAACCTCTGAGCATGCCCTCTAACTTTTTGTCTGTTTTCCAATTTTCTGCTCCATTAAGGAGAACTGTCCTAAAGCAAGTTTTGTATATACTAAGTTTAGTTTTAGTGCTGAAGATATTTGATCTTCAGACACTCTGAAGTTTGTTGTAACCTGCATTTGTGTTTGCAATTCTCTGCTTGATTTCAGCTACTACAATTCCATCCGAGAAGATATTGCTTCCTATGTAAGTGAAGTCAGCTACTGTTTTCAAGCCTACATTAATCTGTTCTTAAATCAACTCAACTCATGATTACATTAAAAAAAAAAGCCATGTTTGTGCTGTCGACGAGTAAATGATAATTAGTTTGTGAAAAAATATCGTTGTTACTAATTTACTGTCTAATTTTCAATTCCCCAGGTTCAAAGAAGCCTCTGCCTACACGGTAAAAGTGATTCAGACAGGCATAATTTTTTTTTAATGATATGCATGCTTAAGTGTTTTCATACTACATTTACCGTTATAGTCATCATCATCAAATACCTTGATGTCCCGTTTGGGCCATCATACCTCTCCACCCCTCCCCCACCCATCCATGCTATGAAAAAAAGGCTCCCAGGAATCATCTTGTGATGCCTGTATGTGTCGGTTTTTGTCTCAGATCTTTCGAGTGGCCATAACATGTTCCAGTTTAATTCTTCTCATAACATGACCACAAAAATGAAGACTGTCACTTTCTGATGTTTGTGATAAGTTCTTTTCGAGTCCTCGCATCTTTTATTATATTTGTGTAGCTCTTCTCTGGCTGTCCAAGGAATACTAAAGATTCAACTGTAAAATCACATATTCGTATTCATTGAACCGCCAGCTTAGGAGTTTCAACAACAGGCTCTGATGCGGGCGACCCGGGTTCGACCTCTCAGTAAAGTGATGTTTCTCTGTCGGGGGCAAAAATAAACATCCTAACATGCACAGTCCGTGGCGACATCACTAGCCAAGCGGCTCTAAATCCTCAGCCTCACGACCATCCTTCTCCTACCCCGTCTACGCCAGTAATTAAAGCAGACAGTAGTGATAGCTGACAGTTGACATATTCATTATAATCATGCGTTTACATTTCATTTCACAGAGCAACAACATGATCTCAGAGTATCAGGGAAAAGGAGACATCGAGCCACTTGCAATCACCAGCACCACCAACAAGTGGGACAGGGGCAACAAACTCACGAAGAAGAAAGTTCCCCCCAACGACAGTGTTACAGCCAGTCAGAATGACACGTTCCCAAACCAATCTTACGGGGACGACAGTTTTAGGGACGAATGGGACCCAGCAGAGAACAGCACAAACAGGAAACACGACGAACCAAATAACAACCTGGTGGATCTAAGTCGCTATTCTGATCACTGGGATCCCAATGCCCCATCTGTGCAAGACAGGAATACTCGTCGATGA